CTTTTTGTCTACTTGTCTATTTTACTGACTTAGGCATCGGAGGGGTTTCCGGCACACACCCGCCGGCTAGCTCACGTTTGTGTTTTCAGGTGGTAAAGCGACATCGTACGGAGGAGCGTGGACTTGGTCAACAGGATTATACGAGGAGAATTATTTCCTCCCCGTACATATATATATATATCACATACCAATTTAAGAGATACGCATAATTATAATATTAACAATTAATGAAAAATTACATGTCACATGTAACACAAGTGTCTAACCACTAATATATCAACTATCTACTACTATTATAAAAGTGTGAAGAACTTACATGTTTTCTACTTTTTTTATTTCTCAATTTTACCCTCTCAAATATACTATATTTTCTAAATTATGAAAAGTTCTATATAAACCAACTATTTTTTATTTTTGGAATTGAACACTCAAAAGTTATATATCTGTTTTCAAGAGTCTTATATAAATATAAAAAAACCGTCTGCCTTCTTATCTAAAAAAAAGAAAAAGCCGTCTCCTTATTTTTAACATTGATGATGATTGAAAAATAAAAAATAATTGCACTTTTTTATTTTTTGTGTTTGCTTCTATACTGATATACATAATATTTATAATTCTCCATCATGGATCAAATCACTGTGAATAATTTTGGTTGAATCTTAAAATTATATGCATTAATTCGAATCTAGACAAAGGAAGGCGCATGCGTTTTTAAAATAGAGATTTGCGCTACATCTCAAAAATTTGCAGGTTATTCTTAAATGGTTCCATAGTCTCAATCAGTTCAAGCGCTTAAATTATGTTTAAAAGGAGTAGACTAAGAGGTGTACTTAGTTGGATCCATGGTTTCAAATTCGCAAAAACCTATTTAATTATTCCGTAGTCAAGCAATCATAAGTTGTGCGGAGAGCTTTCAAAAAACTCAACAACACCAAAGTTGATGATCATTGTGTAAATTGAGGACAAGAATACAAATAAATATTAAAATAGTGAGAAAAAGACAATCACACAAAACATTAAAAAATTACGTGATTCAGCTCAGCTTACATCCACGGGTAATTTCACAAGTAACAGTTATTTCACAAGTAACAGTTTTCACTATCAAACAAAACAAGTGCTCATAGCGCTACAATGGTGTATCTCTCAATCTCACTCTACTCAAATATGATTATGAAAATACTCCCAAATTATTGCCATGTTTACTTCTTGCAAATTGCTTTTGAAGAGGGAGTATTATCCATAAGATTTCCATCATTTGGTATTAGAATTTATAGGCTGAATTAAGATGCCTATTAAACTGTTCAATACTGATTGATAGGTAAGTGAAGCTTAAGAATTTGTATCTAATATTGCCCTGAGAAAATTATGACCCTATTTGGTGCAATTTACTAAATGGGAAATGTTAGGTGTCATGAAGAATTTTCATAAAAACTGTCATGAAAACCATCTGCACCGTTAGATCAGGTATGTGTCTCATGATCCAACGGTGCAGATGCTTTTCATGACAGTTTTCATGAAACGTAGCAGGACCCGAAATCTTTTCCTCAACAGCTATTCCACTTCCAAGATTGGGTTGGGTCAGCCCCATGAAGGTGGTCGAAGCCCATCTTTAGAAGAAAAAAAAAATGGTAGTGGAATAGCTAGTCTAGAAAGCCAGCCAAAATAATTGAAGTGAAAGTCTAGGTATTACATGCGACAGCCATGAGAGAAGAAAGTGCAGGTTTGGTAGTAGTCCTTTCATTGCTTTGATTGGATGGTCTATTGAACTTCGATCATTGTGAAATTTGACAGAAAAATTATTCCATACTCTTGAGATGCACGTGTTCGTGATTTTCACCAATAAACCTACATTATATTTTTTTGCTATTTTTCAATCACTCAATACAAAATTATGGGTCTCACTTTCTCCACTAATCAGAACAAATCTAAGGCACTATATGTAGGGGTAAATGTCGTGTCATGTTCGATTGTATTTGTGTTGTGTCATCTCAGATTCATGTTAGAATTATCTCAATACTCTGACCCGTTTATTAATTAGTCTTATCATGCCGTGTCATTTTCGATCCGTGTTTGGTTCATATCGTGTTAACATGTTATGTCAAAAAAATTTATTATTAATTAAAAATATTAAATTTAAATTACAAACACACCTCCGATACTAAATTACAAATTACCCCTGTGGTTCTAAAAATTATATTATGTCCCCTATAGTTTCTAATTTCATAACAAATAAATCTTTTTATTTAGAAATCATCAAGTTAATTAATAGTTTTTAACAATGTTAAAATTTTATTTCAATTAATAATTCAAATAATTTTATTATTGTATAGGTGAACAGTAAGAAATTTTATTTTTTTAATTAATTCTGTTAAATAAAAATTCTAATAGGGAGGTATTTGTAATTTTTCAAACCACATGAGATAATTCGTATTTTAAGCAAATCTCTAGGAGTATATTTGTAATTTACCCTTAAATTTATGAAAAAAAAATAAAAAATTTCTTCACAAGTTAAATTTAATAAAACTAATAGCTAGTTAATACATTAAGATGAAAATTCTATGATCTTATCCTATAGAATTCCCAAACAAAAAAACAGAATAACTTGCCCCACGTTGATGCTGCCTACCCTCACACGTTTCTTGCAAAATATAAAATTAAGGGAGAGGCTTCTCTCTAATTTACATAGTAAACTAAAGTATACTATTAGATCTACAATAGGTTACATTTCAATGATTCGAATCGTTAAATGTGCAAATCTCATCAAATACTTTATATCAGTAAAAAAATCACGTTGATCAAATTTTGATAACTCCTTAATCGGAATACATTTTTGTCACGTTGAACATAATTTTCACTATCAAACAAAACTAGTTCTCATAGAGCTACAATGGCGTATTTCTCAATATCACTCTACTCAAGTATGAGTACAAAAATTCTCCCAAATTATTGCCCAAAATGTGTTGGCTGCTGAATCTTGACTTTGTCAAATTGTTTTGTTTCATTAGGCATGCCTTATTTATTGAATCTTCAATTTTGTCAAATTGAATCTTCACTTTTGTCTTGGAAATTCAATGGAGTAATAGTAAGGTTATTGACTGTGGACGTGGAGCACAGCCAACCATTGTTGACCTGAGGAGAGACCCAATTTGAGTCTTCCATATCTTCATTTTGTGATCCTCACGTCTTCTCTCATCCCTCCACTCTTATCTTCCTTCATCGTCTCATTCTATCGGTTGATTGCCAATCCAAATTCTGTGTGCTAACCACAAATTCGATCATGTAGGGATCCAAATCTGAGAAATATGTCAGCTTTTGGCAGTGGGAATACAACTACAAATGGTGTGTCTCAATCCGAGGAGTTGTGCCGTTGGTTTTCATTTGTTGAGATTCAATCCGCGACCAACAATTTCGATAATGCTTTGGTCATTGGGAAAGGTGGATTCGGTAAGGTGTATAAAGGGTTCATCGACGGTGGAGCTACCACTGTTGCCATTAAGCGGTCGAATGCAGAGTCCAAACAAGGGGCAGCAGAGTTTTGGACTGAGATCAAGACGCTTTCCAAGCTCAGGCACACGCATCTTGTGACTCTGATTGGCTACTCTGATGATTGCGAGGAGATGATACTTGTTTACGAATACATGGCCAATGGGACACTTGCCGATCATCTCTACCAATATAGTAGGGAAGGAAATGGGAATGCTATTTATCATCTTACTTGGGAGGAGAGGCTCAAGATTTGTATTGGTGCTGCCCAAGGATTGGCCTACCTTCATACGGATACTGAGGAAGGTGTCATACACAGGGATGTGAAGACCACAAACATTCTGTTGGACGAGAATTGGGTAGCTAAGATCTCAGATTTTGGATTGTCTAAAATGGTAAACACAAGCCATTTGCAAACCCACGTTAGTACAGATGTTAAGGGCACATTCGGTTATTTAGATCCAGCATATTTCTTGACTCGTAGACTAACCAAGAAATCAGATGTGTATGCCTTTGGTGTGGTTCTGTTTGAAGTGTTATGTGCGAGGCCACCAGTGGATACAAGTGTTGAGGAGGAGCAAATCGGACTAGCCCTATGGGCTCAAAAATGCATCAAAAACGGAATGCTTGACGAAATCATTGATCCCTTTATAAGAGGACAAATATCACCAAATTGTCTGAAGGTGTTTGCAGAAGTTGCTAACAAATGTTTGCATAATCATTCAAAAGGAAGGCCTACAATGAGTGAAGTTGTGGAGAGCCTCAAGTATGGCATGGCATCACATGGCAATATCCGTATATCTCGACACAAGGGAATAATAAGCAATCTGTTTTTGAGTACTGCAGATGTAGTAGCTAAAGGTGTTGATCTTGGGTGGAGAAAGTGGAAGAACAAAGGTCCTAAGAACGGCATGTCATGGCAGTTGTGTAGGGATCCATTTGCGGATGGTGTTACCCAATTGTACCATCGTTTCTCTCTTGCAGAGATTCAAGCAGCTACAAATAATTTTCATGAGCTTGTGGGGATGAGTCCCCGTGGTGACGTCAGATTGTATAGAGGCCATATCAGCAGTGGGAATCTTGAGGTGGCAATTAAAAGGTGGAAAGAAGGAACATCAAGAGAGAGGAACTTGGACCAATTTAGGGCTGAGATCCAGGTGCACTCCCATCTCCGTCACCTCCACATTGTTTCTTTAATTGGATACTGCATCGATAAGCATGAAGTGATCCTTGTCTACGAATATATGGCCCGTTGGTCTCTCTACCATCAGCTCTATGAAACCAACAAGTATCCACTTAAGTGGGAAAAGCAACTTGAGATTTGCATTGGTGTTGCACGAGGACTGCAATGTTAGATAATGTCTCAATGGGACCACATAATTAAATGTGGTGTTATCATTTATAAGATCCATGCGGGTACAAGGCAAACAATCATTCATGGCAATCTGAAGCCGAGCAATATTCTGTTGGATGAGAAATGGAATGCGAAAGTGGTAACCAGCATTGAATCAAGTACGGGCACCGTGGGATATATCGATCCAGAATACCATGCCAATGGAAATTTTACTATAAAATCCGATGTGTATTCATTCGGTGTCATTTTACTCGAACTGTTGTGTGGTAGGAAGCCAATGATCTATTCAAGGGACGAGGATCAAGTGAATTTAGTTCGTTGGTTCAAAACTAATAGCAAAATGGGCACCGTTGATCAGATCATCGATCCATATCTAATTGACAAAATAGCACCAAAATGTTTGAAAGAATATGTCATGAATGCAGAAAATTGCGTGTGTGATAAGGGGATTGAGCGTCCATCGATGGATGATGTGTTGGGTAACCTCCGGTATGCACTGCAACTGCAGGAGACTTGGCAGAATAGTAATGACCAGTTCAGTACAGTTGAGTCCCCTGAGGCCGTTCCTAGTTTGGATGGCACTGTGATTGTTGAATTAGCAAGAGGAGGAGATATTGATGTGATGAGTTTGGGGAGTATAGGGGATTCAGATTTTTTTTCAGGTAATCTAGCACGGTAGCACAACTCTTTGGTCTTTACAATGTGCAAACATAAGGCCTTTCCAACTGAAACAGAATAATGCTGCCCCTGTTAATGGATTGCTCTCCCGTGTATGATGTCTGAAGCTATCCACTTCCTATGTTAAAATAAACTTTCTATCATAATGTAATCCACATATTTTGTAGATTTTTGTGTATTGTACAGTATGGTGTTCCAACTCTTGAATCAATTATACCTGCAAATTCTACCACCAACTCAACATCTTATTTCATTGACATGAAAAAGAGATTTAGACCCACCAGATGATTTAGGTCTAGCCTCGAGGGAATTCATTTCAAGTCAATACCAATGCCAAAGGACATTGTTTACATGCTTTTTAGTATTTACTCAGACATACCAAACTAGATGCATGCTTGAGCAGAATGCATAACTCATATTCTAGAGCAAAACTTTCTTTAATCAATGGAAAAGTTTGACCCCTAGTATAGTAGATGAAATATTATATATATGTAGTCCCCTATTTCTCCTCGAAAAGTTTAATTTTTCTCAACCATTGAATAATCTTAATTCAATCCTTGTTCATCATATATTCATGCAAGAAAACAGAAAGGTCATCATTTACCCCCTTGCCTTCAAGATGTCAAAAAGTGCATTCTGAAGTTTATTATCCAAACACAGTCATGACCAAACCACAAGTTTGCAGACTGACACATTTATGCTTGATTAGGAAGAAGTCGTGAAAAAACAAAGTGAACAAGGACTCTCATGAAACTAGCCCAATCAGTAAACCATAAAAAGATGAAAAGTATTCATACAATGTCCTACTATCTAAAATTTTATTAGTCAGAGACTAGTTTCCTCATTGCCCTCAGTCAACTCCAAACTGGGTTCTCAAATTAATTTGAAGTAGAATTGGGTTGGGAAAAAAAAAATGCATATTAACTAAAAGCTTTATCTTGAGATGAACAGCTCAGAAAATTCAATGAGATACTCCTAAAATATTTTAACAAGAAATAAATAATCAATTCAGCTTGTCATCAGCCAAAAACTAAATAATCCAAACTGAAAGGTCTACAAAAAAAGAGAAAGCTATTAACAACTCATTGAAAAACTAAAACATTACATATGTTATTGTGATAATGCTAGATCATGTGAAATTAGGTCCCACGTAAAGCTTCGATTTTTAAGTTTTGTTCTTTTCAAATTTGCCTCTGTAAGAGGAGCTAATTTAAGCCCACTAAATTAATTAGGCCCAATAGTCCAAGGTTGGTGGGCCTGAATTTATCACAAGTCCAAGATTAGTGGGCCCGGATTTATCGCCATCAAACGGGCCGAATCACTCTAAGCCTCGAAAGGGTTCGGATCCACGAACCTAGAGACTTACTCGAGCCCGGACTCGAAAGGGTATTAAGCAAGCCTAGAGATCCGAGGCACTCGGACTCGAAAGGATTCGGAAATGTTTTGTTTGGTTGCTGAGAAAATGAGACAGACAAGAACAAAATAAGAACTAAACAATTGACATCCCACTTCAGAGGCATTAAAATGTAGGAATAGATAAAGGAATCAAAATTGAGAACCAAAGAAGCTCTGTTTGGTTTCTAGGAAAATGCGGGATAAGAAAAGACATAAGAATGTGGACCAACATTATCCAACATAACCAAAACCTTCCAGTTAATTGAGCCTAGAGAAAGAAAAATCCAAGTAATTGAACATTGCGAAGACTATTTGGGTATATGGAGATGAATTTTTTGTTTAATTAGTACATAAAAATGTTCAAATTTTCTTTTTGTTTCTTCAATTTCTCCTTAGATTTGGGCTTTTTACTTAACTAGGTTGGCTAATTCTTATTTCAATAAATCAAAATTCTCAGAAACATTGACTTCTTTACCAATTCCCTCATTTTCTGAGCACAAGGGTACATAAGAATCCACATTAGTAAAATTTTAGTCCAAAAAACGTTTTTCTGCCTTTTAAAAGTGAAAAATATTTTCTTTGGCTTCTTTCCATTGGCTATGAAAAATATTTTCTGTTGACTTTCGTTTTCTATTTTATCAAACACAAGAAAATACGAAAAAGATATTTCAAAAAATATTTTCCGTCAAACCAAACAGAGCGTAAGATATGGAAGGCAAAGTGCAAATGGGCACTAGATTATGATATTATTGTCTTAAAAACATTAATAACATATATTATCGTCCTAAAAAAATAGTAAGTATGTAATGCGCTTCACAATTTCGTTTAAATCCCAGAACAACATCCTAACAGAAAGTATTAAATGTAATAAGATAATAATTTGAGATGGTTAGTTTTGAAATTAAGAGACAAAATGCAAATAGGTCTAATTTAAGAAGTTTATTGTAATTTATTTTATTTAATTATTTATTTTTTCTACAAATCCAATTTCAACAACATTTCTCAACAGTTCCTTTCAAGTGAAGTTGAGGATCACAACTCCAGACTTGAACCGTTTTATGTTTTTTTAATTCAAAATTAACTAAATAATGTACAGGTAAATTTTATTTCCAAATTATGGTAAAACATGATTAGCAGTCACATTTTTATTGAAAACCATTATTACTAACAACACTTTTTACTTGAATATAAACACTTTAAATAAAAACGAGTTACTCATATAGTATTATGCAATAAATAAACATTAGGAAAAAATGCAGTTAACGACCATCCTTCTTCAAATAAAATAAAAAAATTTTGAATGCTAACCAAGTTTTACCATAATCTTAAAAAAAAGATTCGTCTGTACACTATGGGCTTGTTTGGTAACCATTTCGTTTTTAGTTTATATTTTTAAAAATTTTAAAAAATTGTCATAAAAACTTGTATGATAATTTTTTTTGGTTTATAAATGGTTGTCTTAGTTTGTAAATTTGAGGAAAAAATGTAAACTCAAAATATGAGTTTACATTGGTTTTCAAACAGAAATTTAAAAATTTGACTAACAATTTTTTTTTTGCAAATAATTTTTTTTTCAATTATTTTTTTTCAAATAATTTTTTTCTTTTAATTTTTTCATCTGTACAAATGTTTGATGACAAGCTTGCTAATCACATTCAGACACCTGAAGGAATATGGGAGTTCTATGAGGACAAAGTTCTCAGACTAAGTAGATCACTTGTTGAACTGCATAATCAAATAATTGACTATCTGAATGATATTCACAAAAGAAACAGTTTCAATGGTAATCTGTTGAACAATTTAAGGATTTTTTGTAGATACGTTGGGTCAAGGTTAACTTGGAAGGTTGAGTTTGTTAACAACCCTCCTCTAAATCCAATACATGACCCCATACATGGTATAATAGTTGATGTTCAACACTTTAGAAAGATAGTATATGAAGCGACGGAACGATTTCATTTAGAAGTTTATCCCCCGACTCGTCTCCTCTTTCTTCAACCCACCTATGATTTTAACCCACGATGTGGGTACCATCATACTTTGTCTTATGTTAAGAGAATTGCATTTTATAACTATTCCCATCCACTTTTTTTCAATAAAGTGAGGGTGACACACTTTATTTATAAAGTTTATGAAATACATAAGAGGAAGCCATTTATTTTCAACTGATATATTTGTCTAGATAATACCATGCCTCTCACAGACATGGGTTTTTGGTTGGCTAAATTTCTGTCTGTTCCCCATTTTCAGTACTGGGATGGCTGTCAGCCGCCACTGCGACAAGTTCTATATTATCCTCCTCATGGAGAAAAACCATTATATAAATTTCAGACTGTTATTCTTTAGACATATGGGGTGATAAAATATTTGAGGACCGTTCATGAACATGCCAAGGATGTCATTCAAAATACTTGGTTTGGAAAAATTCTCAATGAGCTCTATCAAGTTTTCCCCGACGCCTTGCGTAAGATACATTTCCTCATGTGTACTAAGTTCAATGACGATAACGATTGCCAAAAGTATTTGTCTGCTAAAAACATTGTTAAGCTAATGGGGCACAGTCCTTTTGGCTACAACGGACTCAAGTTTTCAATCGGTTGTGCAACTGACGAGGTATGTTTATTTATCACTTCTTTAGTTATACTGTAACTCAAATTTTTAAAGTTTTCTCAATAAGAGGGAGGATGAGATGGGCAAGCCCATAAAGGATATAGCCCACCATTTAAGGCCTAATCCATGACTCAAATACTAAAGCTCAACATTCTTGGAACCCAACGCTACACCAAGCACCAAAGACATCTAAACACTTGGCATGTGAAGAACCAGCCACATCAGCAAACAAAGATCCTGCAGAGTTATTGTACCACACATCAGCCATTAATGAGTTTCCCTGCAACATTTATTATGATAACTCTTCACGTCGGAACAGGACAGCCTCACCATGAACAAGGCAAGCTAGAGCATAGACTTTCGGCCAACATGACGGCTCAGAGTGGACAAGGAAATGATGAGCAAAGGATATAAGCAGGCCTCTAA